ACTTTTTGGTCCAACTTTCTCCAAATTGAAATCCGTTCGCACTGTTGCGATCAGACAGTCGAATTCTATTCAACGACATACTTTTCATAATTATTTGTAATACTTTTTCCGACATCATATTTTTGGGTGGTTGACTTTGATAGAGTAAAAATTGGTTTAATTGACTTTTCTCATAAAAGGTTCTCTTATTTAATTCATATCAATTATTCTCATGATTTATTTTAACAAATCATTTAAATATTTACAATATAAACACATTTTTCATTTACTCTTGATTTGGGTCTGTACTATGGTTCCCAATCAATATCACACAATTAGTCAACATATTGGATTTATCTCTATGAGACTTATCCAGATTTTGATATTGGAAATTAAAACATATTTCATATCGGCCCAAAGCCCAACAATAATTTATTTTAATCAAAACAAATTTGATTAATTGAATTATTCATTAATAATTTTAGGATATGTTTTGGGACGTTACAAATATAGTTTAATTATTTAAACTAGAATTCGTGTAGGGGTTGACAAATATTAAAGTGATTAGCCTTAGACTAAGAATAGTTTAAGGATATTGTTGAATATTGAATATTGAATATTGAATATGAATAAATATTGAATGATGAATATTGAATTGAATATTGCAATTATTACGAATGACTGATGAACATTGAATGTGAATATAAATGTTGAAAAATGAATAATTTTTAATAATTATTGATTATCTGAACTGAATATTATGTGCATGATATCAAATGATTTGATTATGAATTTAGATTCAGTTTATATCGATGTTCGATGAATTAGATATGCTTACTCAGCTTCAACGCTCAGCGTGTAGTATGTTTTATTTGCTACATGCAGGTTAATAGAAAGGATGAAGTGACGTGATCCTGAAGGCAGACGGAGGCGAGATTGTCGGAATGGATGTGATGGTTTTGAATTAAAGAACATAATAAATTATGTTGTAATTATGATTTGGTAAAGCTTCCACAATATTGAAAACTCCGTACTGTTTATATTATGAAAAATATTATTATGATAAATAAAAGTATTTGTAAAGTTTTAAATCTTGACGATTACCAAGTTAATACTTTAGTCCAAAAGGGGCTGCAGACCTGGACGGATTAGGGTCTTACACTTCTGACATTCCAAAATGTGCTTAATTTCCCTATTAGATATTTCAGCTTGTCCATTAGTTTGAGGGTGATAAGCAGTGGAAATCCTTTGGTGATGTGGTATTTTGATCAAACTTGGACGGGAAACTCCTCTTAATACCATTTTTCCTAAAAATTTAAGCTCCTAGAACCTTATTTGTTCAAAATTTGCATTTAGTGGAGTAAAAGGTTAATTTTAAAATATGTCAGTACCTCTATTTTTTAAGTAAAAAGTTGGCCAAGGAGAAAAAAACGTAGGGACTCATAACAAACTGATTACAAACAAGACACAAATGCACCCAGGGACTGACTTAGACTTTTAAAAAAACTGACTTATTAAGCTATAATAACCAAAATAATAAAAAAGACTTTTTTTAAGTGTTTTTTTAAACAATAAGCAAACCAATTCTCATTAAAAAAATTATCTTTCCCCGGCAACGGCGCCAAAATTTGTTAGGCGTGTCGTAGTACCTAAAAAATTAATTAATTATTTTCCTTTACTTAGTTCCTTCTTGTAAAAATAATATTTATTAAATCTATAGATAGGATAAGTAAGGATCGATCCTACGAGGAAAGAAATTTTTTAGGCTATGAAAATCAGTTTACTTTGTCACTTTTTATTGGATAAAAATAACTATCTAAAATCTATAAACTGAACTAAAAGATAGGGGGGTTTGAAAAATGTTTTCTAAGTAAAAAACTACTAAAGTGACACAACACATCAGAACAAATTGTTAGTCGTTTTTCGTATTCCGTTTTCAAAATAACCCCAACTAAGAATATTTTTGACATTTTAGAAATAATTTTTGAGTGAAAGAGCATACGTATATCATTAAAATATATCGTTACCTTTACACAACAATTTCTAAACTCGTAGAAGTATATCTCGGTGATGCTAAACAAGCTAATAGAGGTTTGGCGTTTGTTTTCTTCCTGCAAATGATGTTAGTAGCATTTGGAAGACTTATTTGGCACATCAAAATGGTTACGGGGTACGGCATTCAAAGCCAACAATCTCCTCCTTTTTGATGTTGACAAATAAGGCTTTCGAATATAATAATCAAAAGCACAAACATATCGTGATATTTCTCCCCATAAATGTATGCATATGAAAGCCTAATATTTCTCCCCCTTTTGGCAACATTCAAAAAGGCGGGGTACCAAAAACATGAGTTTCAACACATAGGCATTCATCACGGCAACATTTATAAGCAACAAGCATCATAAGCATAAGCATTCAAACCATGAGCATAATCAAATCAAAGGCATAATCATAAAAAAGGAGTTTGAGTCATATAAGTGCATAAATAAAAGTTTGAAACATAAACATGACAAAGAGTTTTAAAACTTAAGCGAAATAACCCCAACTAAGGATAAAAACAGAACATAACTCCACCAAAAAGCCCACACAAAGAAGACAAGCACACATAACACAATAATTTAGGGACTTGAACAATTTTAGAAAATCAACAAGGTGTTTTATAATATAGAAATTAAAATAAATATCCAGGATCAAAACTTCAATAAAAACTAGCATAATCATTAACCAACTTTAAATTAAAACAAGGGTCCGGCTGAAAAAGAGGTCCACCAACGGCTCTTCCCTATTTTCCCATTCATAAAAGCTCATGTTAGGACCAACCCTAACTCTAAACCCTACTATCCTTAGCAACCCAAAGACCAACCCTTAGATTACTACTAAGAATAGTGCATTAAGATTTGTGGGAAACATCAGCGTAAAAATCTTGCAGTAACACGAAGGTTATTTAACAAAATTAGTTTGACAACCTTGATTAACGAAAACCACTTAACGAGGTAGCCTAGTACTAATCAAGTGACACTTGGTTTCTAGAAAAATTCGGCTATTTAATGCACTTTGGACTTTAAAAGAATATCATTTTAAATAGGATTAGGTCGCGATCCTAATTTGACCCAACTTAAGTAAAATCAATTGAAAAATAGTTCTCAAACACCTTTGATTTAATTTAACAAAAGCATAACTTGATTTATTTTAGAAGTATTGAACTTGAAGTAAAAGTTTAAACCCATAGACAGATTTAATTTTAAACAACAGGATTTAATACTTCTTCCAAAAATTCTGGTTTCATATTGTAGAAATTAATAAGAGGAAAAATATTTTGTATATTGAAGAGAGTAAAGCATATAAGTAACTTTTATTCCTACCATATTTCTATTCCTACTATAACAAGAACTAAGCAAACTAGGAAAGATACTAAACTGAATCCCAAGCTTCCTTCTTCTGTTGCCAACACCGCCCTCAAGCTGGAGCATGGGAGTTCAACATGCACAGCTTGGACATCAAAAGATTGAACAAAGCAACAAAGCTTGAGGAGGCCGCTGCCATTGTTGTCCAAGTGTCATCTAGACACTTCAGTTTTTTTCTTCAACGGAGACGCCAAGCTTTTCGAATCCGCCGAATAATCAGTCGAGTAAAGGAACACCATTCTTTTCGAACCTTCACCATATTCGAACAAACAGGGGGAACACCATTCTTTTCGAACACCCTGAACGTCGACTTTTTTTATTGCCTGCTAAGGAAAGAGTTGTCTGTCTCTGTAGAACAACCCTTCTCGGACAACTTCTTCAAGATTGATGGTTGGGCGAGATTCCTCGACAACAATGTTTTTCGTTGAAGGAGTTCATGATATTCTTTAGTGAGGGAGAACAATAAAAGAAAATCTAAAATTACAATATCCCGCCGGTAGGCATTGAATTGTGTATGCCCACCAGCAGGAGAAGAAGCGTGTTTAAGGTCTCAAGAATTCAAAACTTGCTCTGATACCATGAAAGAATTATTTGGGAGGAAATTCTCTGTATATTGAATTGGCTTTTGAAACTGTTTTTGAATACAAAGATCTAACCCTCTTTATATAGGAAGAGGATAAAGTAAACAAGAAAATTCCTATTCCTACTAAAATGAGAATTAAACAAACTAGGAAAGATACTAAATACTAAACATAATTCAACTAGGAAAGATACTAAACCTAATCCTAAAGCGATTCAGTTTCCTTCTTCAATCTCGCTTCCTTCTTCTATCTCTAATACTTTCTTTCTTCAATCACGCTTCCTTCTTCTATCTCTAACAATAAGGGATTTAATATAGACATTCAAAAAAAATCCCATAAATAAAAAATACCAACCATTTTGGAATTTTCAAAATTAACACAACAAGCAAAAAAAATGTAAAAATTAAATTGAAACAACACTTTTACAAAGAAATTGGAGAAGAAAAAGAAATTGACAAATAAGGGTTACCAAATTTATTGAAGAAGATGAAAGGTGAAGAATTGGAGCTGTTGGAACCATCTCTGGCCGGAGCTACTGCTGCCGAACGCCACCACCGCCGCCGGCCATCACTCGTCGCCATAGCAGCGGCCAAGCCGCTGCTTTATTTCCGTGAGATTTCCCTCATCTTCTTCCCCTCTTGTGAAGCTTCAATTTATAGAATATAGGAGCCAAATTCTTCCCGTTGGAGCATTGATTTTTGGCGAACGTTGGAGAAAAGCCGTTGGAGATGGCGTTACTTCGATCGCCGAAGAAGAAACTGCGTTGTGTTTCCGTTTTCGTTTCCTTCTTCCGTGAAATTGAAGAGGGAGGATGGATTGGTGGGCAGTTTCTATTTTAGTAAGCGATGGATTTGGGCTTCGGTCCAAATTAATCTCTTTTCAAACTTCAACTGCATTTTGGCCTTTTGTTATACTTTTCTCCAAAATAAGATATCTGATAACTTAGGTTAGGAAAAATAAAATAAAATGTAAAAAGAATGATTAAAAAACTACTATTTGTGCAAGAAATTTAAAAGATTGTAAAAATTAGAATTAAAATAAAACTACGCAAAACGGCTAAAAATTTAAAACTAAAAATATTAAAAATGCCTAAAAAAGAATAAAAAGAACTAACCCAAAAATGACTTATCAAATACCCCCACACTTAAGACTTGAACGTACTCGTTCAAAAGACCAAAAAAATAAATTTTAATTTGTATCATCATCAAGAAAAACAAAATGCACTTTACACACCCACTCTAAAGACTTTATGCCCATAGCATTTTAAAAATAAAGTGAGGTAACAATCCTACAAGAAAGGAGAACTAAACAATGGGTTCTAAAACAAATGCTTTAAAGTTGCCACAAAAAAGTGAATCCTAAGGGAATCCTATGCTTCAAAACGGCTCAATGGCAACAGTAGCAAAATTTATTAAAATAAGCCTAAAATATAAAAATCACACAAATTCTAAAAGATAAAAAGGCTCCTAAAACTGGTTCTTTACAACTTTTAAAGATCACACAAGGTTATTAAAACAGCATCTAGATAATATGTGGATGACCAGTTCTAGGAAAAAAATCTAAAGGATACCTAGAAGGATTCAAACACTTTAAGGTCATTTTACCAAGTAAAATGGGCATTAAGACTCAAGGCGAGTTTATAAAGCAACATTTGTCAACTTTCAGAATAAATCTCAAAGAAAAAAATGAGGTTTATGGGTCAACATTTAAAGCAATGCTCTAAATAAGGAGATATGCAACTAGGAATGAAAAAATATTTAGACCCAAAACTTATCGAGAAAAAAAAATTGCCCAAAAATTAATCTCCCGCAAACAACAACATAAACATGAGAATCTCCCCCCACACTTAGATCATGCATAGTCCTCGATGCGTCCATATGATATGACAATATTAAGTAGCACAGACTTAGCCAGAAGAGAAGGGGAAATGGGAATGCAACTAAAAGAAAGGATGGGGAATGCAAATTAAAAAGTATACGTGACATCAATTCATCACTTTCCCTTCTGTATTATACTTTATACTCGATGGACCTAAAATCTGCAAAAAGAAGGCTAAGACCAAGTTTTTTAGCGTTGAATACAAAAAATCAGATTTCAAATATGTAGATTTTTTCTAATTTAGCACATATAAGCTGTGAAAAGTGTAGAGTTTTCATTTTACACTCAAATAACAATTTACAAAGTGCATATTTTCCAATTTATAGCCCAAAAATCAAATAGAGAAGTGCAGATTTTTTCCATTAGTACCCAAAAATTAGCCTTAAAACTGCAGAATTTTTAGATTTTCAACCCATGAAAGATCAAATGTAAACACCCAAGGTTTAAGAAAATTTAAAATTGATAGTATGCAAAATCCCGGGCATCAAGTGTTGTTTCATAACAAATTTTGCATCTTATCATGTACATTTTTACTCCAAACAGAGATGCTCCAACCTAAAACTCAATAAATCTTGCAAAAAGCTCTCGAAGTAGATGGTTAGAAGCACAGGTAAAGTAAAAATAAACAATTAAGCTCAACAAGATCACTTTTTTTTGTTTTGATTTTACTCTTTTTTTCAAAAACTAAATGAAAGAGAAAGAGGAAAAAACTAATCCTATAATTACTACAAATACAATTACATCAATACGGAAAAAACAAGAAAAGTAAGTTGTTTATTAAAACAAAGAGGAAGAAAACCAAATCAACAACCACTAAGAGAGAAAAAAAGTATAACAACAATAAGTTAAAGTTAGAAGTAAGCATAATGAGCTTTAAAACTAAAGTTTTAAAAAATGCTATTAAACTAAGTGGGTCATGCTAGAAAAATAATAGAAAAAGTGATTAAAAAAATGTAAACAACAACTATAAGAGAAAAAAATTACAACAATTTAAAGGTAGGGTGCCAAAAAGAAATTATAAAAAATGCTATTAAAATATTTGGGTTTCCTCCCATAAGCCGCCCGATTTAAAGTCTTTGGCTGGACAAAACTTACTACTTGCCAACGCATATGCACTTAAACCATAAAGTAGTAAGATAAGTAAAAGTGTTTATTTAAAACCACTAAAGAGTAAAAATAATATATGCTCTCAGTTTTCAACTTTGGATGGAAGTTTCTACACATATGATCACTAGATGATCAATTAAGAAGCAAAAATCAGATTATAAGTGCAGATTTTAAGCTTCATGTTACGTTCTGGAAAAAATACTTTGTACATTTTTGAACTTTGGCATCAAAACTCATCATATAAGAGACAAATTCAACTTGCAAAAGCATGCTAAAAGCTTCTAAAATCAGTTCCTATGCAAATTTAGCAATGAAAGTTCATAAGTCAGGCATAAAAAGCATCTTAGGAACTCAAATTCACCATAAAAATCAAGCAAAAATGTTGCAGATTTTTTCAACAAGAATAGCAGTGTAGGTCTAAATTTCATCAAATTCAGCTTCTAAATCTCAAAAATCAGCATATAAACATCATGTCATACTTCTAGATATTGTCTGTAAACAAGACTTATCAATTATAGTCCATAATTCAAGCATATCGCACTACGTCAAAAACAGATGCTAACAACTGTTCTTTTAGTAGTCTAACTGTGCTAGTTTCAATAGTCTTCCGAGCAGCTGTCTAATATATTTACAGACTACTGTTTAAAAACAATTGTGTAATACGGTTGACGACACCTACTTTGTGATGTTTCAAAGTACATGTTTTTGAAGTTGTCCTCGTATGAGGAAGACATCTGTTTTCTAGAGTTAAAGACAAGTGTGATGTTTTGTTGTCTATCTATAATGAATATTACTGTTGTTTTCGACTTCAGACTCCTATTGCGTGGTGTTGTCGTCCAACAATATAGACATCTAATTTCAAAAGTAGTTGAAAGATATATCAGACTGCTGCTTGGAAGACTATTAAACAAAAATAGCATCAGACAACTGTTATCTTGTGTTATATTTCTAAAATAATGACTACTAATTTTGTTGTATTTTAAACAACCGTTTCTTTCACTTATATAGTGCTCAATAACACTATGCTTTTTTGTAGTTGTGATTGAAATATTCAAACTACCTTTTTACATAGTAGTCAGATTATATTGTAAATCAGACTACTGCTCCGAAGACAACTAAGTATGTTTGCATAAGACAACTACTATTATGTGTTGTATTTGTAAAATGTAAACTATATATATTCGTTGTATTTCACATAACTGTTTATTTTTTATTGTCTAACATTTATTAATAGTCCAGGTTTGTGTAGTTGTCCTTTAAAGATTTAGAAAACTGTTTTGATACATTGTAAAGCTGTTTGAAAGACTACTATATTTCAATTTACATTTATGTTTAATAAATAAAATTTATTTCAATTCCAAAATATTGATCATGAAACAAAAATAAATTCTAAAATGTAGAATCACTACTACAAAAAAGACTTTTTAAATCAGTTATTTTGACCTTTTTAAATCGGGTTTTAACCGATGCAAAAGCCAGCGATGCAAATGCTCAGGTAACTTTTTGCATCGGTTGTAATAACCGATGCAAAAGCTTCTACCCAGAATTGGCGCCGGATCTGGGTAGAGGCTTTTGCATCGGTTATTACCAAATAACCGATGCAAAAGATTATTTTTTTTAAATGGTTTATTTTGTTTGCTTCCAATTTACTACATATTCAATTTTGCACAGAATTTTGTGCAAAATATACAGGTTCAACAACAACAATTCAACCCATCAACACAACAACTACTTTAAACCAAAGCTGTAGAAATCAGCTTAGAAATGAAGCAAAGCTGTAGATTTTTCTAAATAAAAAAGAATTCAGTTTAGATTAATACAAGTAATTGCGGCACTAGTGATAATTTATGCACAAGATGACAGATGAAGATGACAAAGTTACTTTTTGAGATTTTAAATGTCATAAGCATGTTTATATGTAAAAAAATCTGTGTGCATGGAATCTTTGTCAACAACAACAAACCCAAGAGAGACGGTTTGCGTTAAGACTCTTGATGCATTTACTTACCAAAACTTCATAGTTTATAGAGAAATAGATGCAAAGGAATTTTAATTTGCCATTTTGATCTAGTGAATAATTTACCCAAAATGGATTTAAACATTGTCAAATTGTTTTTTTAAGTTCCATTCGCTACATTAAACTTTCATAGAATCTTTGTGTTGATTAAAATTTCCAAGTCTCAAAAATTGGAGAAAAAGAAGCTAGAAAGGGGAGGGGTGTAATGTAGGCTACCTTCCTATGTTTGGAGAAGGGGTTATAATGTTTTTCCAAAGGAAAAGGAAAAAGTTCGAGCTACAAATTTAGAATGCTTCTTGGTTAATAGAAACAGTGCCGCAAAGAACCGCTCATTGAAAACTAACCTTACCAGACTGTGGTATTGAACCAATTGAACCATTTTTCAAGTCGATTTAATGCACTGTCCAAGAAGATAGATATGTCACTTCTTTCATCAGCAGAAAACTTATTTTTCTTAATGCCACAAATCAAGTCAGCAAAAGTGAATTTTCATACTGGTCAATAAATTTATGATACTATTTCAAAATTTATAAATGACAAAGACAATCTTTTCACTATGTGCAATCCAGAACGCAAACATAAATAAAGATCTTAGAACAACTAAAAAAGGATATTTAGGGAACAATTACCCCGTAAAGCCAGAAACAATGTTGGAGGATTTCCATTACTTGGATGTTGAGGAACAAATTCTTGAGGGACATTACTGAGAAAAAGCAGGCCTAGTCTTAAAAACTGAGAAATGTATAAGCTCACAATTTTCTCAGAAGAGGTCTTGTCCTTACCATGTTGTATTTGTATTCAGCTGCAGATTTGCCAAATAATATCAGCTGCCAATAGATTTAAAGCACATCATTGTGAAAATAATGGATGACTATCCAAGAAATTTAAGGTAAAGCCAAATCGTGATCATTTTAATTATGATACACGTTTATACATAGTACCACATTCCAATACAAACACTACCCAATGTTATTAATATAAGTAACTGCAAGGTTATTATAGTTTCTAGATTCTAATAAAGTTGCGAATTCAAACTATACGATTTCAGATATCAAGTCCACCCATATGTACTCCCTCACCAAGCACCACAAGAAAACGCGAAAAAAACGACGGATTATAGCGACGGAATGCAATTCGACGCTAACGATGACGGATTCAGCGACGGAATTTTACACCTACCAAACTTTACGACGGAATCAACATTCCGTCGCTCCGTATTGGCAGGAGGTAGTGCGCGGCATATTAGACGACGGAAATAACGACGGAAAAATTCCGTCGTTAGTTTGGTGACGGAAAAATTCCGTCGGTAAAAGAATATAATTAAAACGCTGCGTTTTGAGCTGGCGACGGAAAAAATTCTGTCGCTAAATCCGTCGCCAAAAACAGATCTAAAAACGGGATCTCCTCTCAGTTTCTCCGATTTCGCAGACAGAAACCACAAAGAGTTGTTGTGTAGTTTCGTCTCCTCCGCGACGCCTTCCGCCACCATCATCCGCCGGTCGCTGTCCGATCATCTTCTCCGTCTGCCACCATCAACCGCCGGTCGTCTACCCATCTTCCGTCACCGTCCACTTGAAATCTCAGGTTTTGTTTTTCATTTTTTCATCTTTTATTCAATTTCAATTTCTGAATTAGTTTGTTTTTAATTATAATTGTATTGCTTACATTAGGGGTTTTTAAGTTAACATATTTTGTTTATTATTACAAATTTAATTTTAATTTTATAATTATTTTAGATTAGGGTTTGCTTTTCAAAATTTAGTCATTTGTTTTTAAAAAAATTAATTATATTCTTGAAAGTTATAGTGAATGAATATCGTGCTTATTAATCATTTATATATTGTAACTTTTATATGAGGAATGAATTTATG